ATACCAAAGCATCGTTTCATAACAGCAGCTTTTTATCATACAAAAGCAGCACAGAAATTCCATCCCTGAGAAAAGGGAAACAAGGCAGCAGCTCACTGCCTAGAGGCAATTTTCACATCTCAGCAAAGAGAATTGGGGACCAGAACCCGGCAGTCTGACTGAGTTGAGAAGTTAGAGATGAAAGTTCTGGAGGCCAAGGAAGCTACTGTAAGGCAGAGTATCAGATAGGAAAGACCTACACAGAGGGAGAGTTCCAAAGGTCTGTAGATATGTCCTTGCAAGTCTATGACTGGGTACTGATCTATACGTACATGAGAGGAAACTACCCAAAGATGAAGAAAGAAGCATCGGCAAAAAACAGGCTAATTCCCAGAGCTCACACAGAACTGGGAATCGACCTCCTAATACTTGGAGCACTGGGTAGAAGCCACAGAAGGGAATTGCCTTAGTATCTGGTGCTGCATTATGCCTAGACTAAAAGTTGCTTTGGACCTATCATAACAAACATAAAAGAGTTGAAAAGATCCAATTCATTCATGTAACCAGGCACCAAAAAAAATCCAACACTGTTTAATTCAGTGAAATAAAACCAGCAACCAACAAACAATATTTGTTTGATCTTCTTGGAATCTTGTTAGAAGATCAAATAACATCTAGCATTAAATAAAAAATTATGAGGTATGCAAAAAAAAGAAAAAATTTATTTTCTTCTCCATAACCAGAAGAAAAATCAATCAATAGAAACAGACCCACAGATGGTGAAACTAGCAGACAAGGACAGTAAAACAGCTATTATAAATATACTCCATTTTTTTAATCAGGTAGAGAAAAACACGAACATAGTAAGAAGAAAAATAGAAGATAGAAAAAAAAGAAGCAAGTGGAAATTCTAGCAATTAAACAATATAGTATATGAAATGAAAAATGACAGACTTGACATTGCAGAAAAAAAGACTAATGACCCTGAAAACATAGCAATATAAACTATTCAAAATTACACACTAAAAGAAAAGAGATTGGGAAAAAAATCCATTGGTGACTTTTAGAACAGTATCAAGCAGTCTAATATATGTATAATTAGAGTCCCAAGGTGGGCAAAAAGGAGGGGCAGAAAGGATATTTGAAAAAAAAAAAAAATGTTTTTCAAATTTAGTGAAAACTATAAAACCACCAACCTAAGAAGTGTAATGAACTCCAGGCTGAAGAAATCTAAAGAAACCACTCCAAGGTACATCAGCATCATAATGCTGAAATTCATGATTTATAAAAACCCTTAAAGGCAGCCAGGCATTTTATGCACACACACAAAAAAACACAAAGATTAAAATTATAGCAAATTTCATGTCAGGAAGGCATGCAATCCAGAAGAAAATAGAAAGACATCATTAAGGTACCAAAAGAAAAAGTGAATATAATAATGGCAATCTGCCAATCTAGAATTTTTTTTTTTTTTTTTAAGATGGAGTCTCACTCTTGTTGCCCAAGCTGGAGTGCAATGGCGTGATCTTGGCTCACTGCAACCTCTGCCTCCCAGGTTCAAGCGATTCTCCTGCCTCAGCCTCTGGAGGAACTAGGATTACAGGCAGGCACCACCACACCCAGCTAATTTTTTGTATTTTTAGTAGAAATGGAGTTTTACCATGTTAGCCAGGCTGGTCTCAAATTCCTGACCTCAGGTGATCTGCCCTCCTCGGCCTCCCAAAGTGCTGGGATTATAGGAATGAGCCACCACACCCAGCCCAATCTAGAATTGTTTACCCAACAAAAAAATCTTCCAAATCCAGAGGTGAAATACAGACTGTTTAGACAACCAAAACAAAAACGAATTCTTGCCTGCAGAGTTATACTACAAGAAATGATACCGGAAGTTCTGCAGGCAGAAAAAAATAATACGAGATGGAAATTTGGATCAACACAAAAGAATGAAAAGCACCAGAAATGGTAAATATGAGGGTAAATATAAAAGGCTTTCTTTTGTCTCACTTTGAATCTCGTTAGATTATTGATGGTTTTAATAAAAAGTAATAACAATGTACTATGGAAGTTATAGCATGTGTACAAGTAAAATTTATTAAAACAATGGCAAAAAAACAGGATGAGGGAAATGAGAGTATGCTGTTGTAAAGTTCTTAAACTGTATAAGGTGGTATAATATTATTTGAAATATTTGACTGTGATAAGTTAAAGATGAATATACAAACCTTGGACTAACTACTTAAAAATATTAGGTTGGTGCAAAGTTTGTGGCAAAAACTGCAATTACTTTTGCACCAACCTAATACATCAAAGAGATAAGCCAATACTGAAAATTAAGATGAAATTATTTTAAAAACTCATTTATTACAAAAGAACGCAAGAAAAGGGGGAAAAGGAACAAAGAACAAGTGAAAAAATAAACAAGAAATGTCGAGTTGGTAAACGCATTATGTCAATGACTTTATTAAATATAAAGTTCTATGATCGGGGGTGGTGAGTCACACCTCCCAGCACTTTGGGAGGCCACGGCAGGTGGATTACCAGAGGTCAGGAGTTTGAGACCGGCCTGGCCAAAGTGGTTAAACCCCGTCTCTACTAAAAATAATTGAAAAATTAGCTGGATGTGGTAACAGGCACCTGTAATCCCAGCCACTCTGGAAGCTGGGGCAGGAGAATCACTTGAACCCGGGAGGTGGAGGTTGCAGTTAGCTAAGATCACAGCACTGCACTCCAGTCTGGACAACAGATGAGACTCTATCTCAAAATAAATAAATAAATAAAGGTCTAAACAGCCCAAAAGGCAGAGTATCAGATGGGATCCATCTGTAGGCTAGTTACAAGAAACCAACTTTAAATACAATGACACACATAGGTTGAAAGTGCAAGGATGTAAAAAATACACCATGAATACTAATTCAAAAAAATGTATAAGAAGTAGATTTTCAGAAAAATATCACACTTATAGAATACACCACTTAACAACAGAAGAATACATGTGCTCTTTAAGTTTACATGAAACATTCAGCAAAATCATAACTGGGTATAAAATAAGTCTCAAACTTAATACAATTAAAATCATGCAAACATGCTTGCTGACCACAATGAATTTAAACTAGAAGTCAATAACAAAAAGATATCTTTTAACTGAAAATCCCTCAAATGTTTGTAAATTAAACAACACACTTCTAAATAACATATAGGTATTTTAAAAAACATGAAGGAAATTATAAATATTTTGTACTAAATGAAAACTAAAACACAACACATCAAAATGTGTGGAGTGTAGCTAAAGCAATACTAGAACATTTATAACATTAAATGTTTATATTAGAAACTCATAAAATTCTCAAATCAATTACCCACTGTTCACTTTAAGTAATATAAAAAAGGAAGAGCATGCCTGGCAAGGTGGCTCACGCCTATAATCCCAGCACTTGGGGAGGCCACAGCAGGTGGATCACCCGAGGTTGGGAGTTCAAGACCAGCCTGACCAACATGGAGAAAGCCTATCTCTACTAAAAATACAAAATTAGCCAGGCATGGTGGCATATGCTTGTAATCCTAGCTACTCAGGAGGCTGAGGCAGAAGAATCACTTGAACCCAGGAGGCGGAGGTTACAGTGAGCCGAGATCGTGCCATTGCACTCCAGCCTGGGCAACAAGAGTGAAACTCTGTCTCAAAAAAAAAAAAAAAAAAAAAAAAAGAAAAGAAAAGAAAAGAAAAGGGAAGAGTAAGTTAAACCCAAAATAAGCAGAAAGGGTGGATAAGAACATAAATTCAATAAAATAGAAAACAAAAATAGTGGAGTAAATCAATGAAACCAAAAGCTGACTCTATTGATAAACCTTTAGTCAAACAGAAAGAAACAAAAGATAAAATACCAATCACCAATATCAAAAATTAAAGTGGGTATATCACCATAGATCCTGCAGATCCTGAAAGGATAGCAAGGGAATGATATGGTAAGAATAATTTTATGCTAATAAGTTATATAACCTAGACAAAACAGACAAATTCCTTGAAACACACAAGTTTCCAAAGCTCACTCAAGAAGAAACAGACAACCTGAATAGTCCTGTATCTGTTAAAGAAAATGAACTCATAACCAAAAGCCTTCCACAAAGGAAACTCCAGTCCCAGATGGCTTCACTGCTAAATTCTAATGAGCATTAAATGAAGAAATAATAACTATTCTACACAAACTCTTCCAGAAAATAGAAGAGGAAGGAACATTTCCCAACTCATTTTATGAAATTAGCATTACCCTGATAACAAAACCAGATAAATAAATTAAAAGGAAAAAAAAAATCCCACTGACCAATCTCTCTCATGAACATTAGATACAAACATCTTTAACAAGCAAGGGACTTGGTAGCTGTGTGGAATTCCACTGACGGGGGGTTACATGAGGATAGAGGATAGGATATCATTTGAATTCAGCAACATGGAGCTCGTGTTCCTACCTTCCAGACTCAGGACCTCTCTGCCACCTGAATATTCCTGTGGTTCCTTCACAACCTCTAAGGCCACATACCCATGCTTACCCATTTTAGCCATTTGGCCACCTCACTCTGCTCCCATCTACCACAACCATCATTCAGGTTACAGCCTAGCCTAAGGCTGTGGAAGGTACTGACCAGTGCCTCCAAATTAGAACCACAGACTTTCCCAAAGTTTATGATAGGAGTGTAGGATATGAGATAGCATATTCTCAGGGTATGAAGCCCGGCAGGTTCTCAGGCCACCGGGGTCAGGGTCTGGAAGCTAAAACTGAGACTGGCAAATTATTCTTGAGGATCCATCTTGAGGTCCAGTGGTCCCTAAACAGCATGCAGGCAACCACTTTAATATCAGTGTTATCCTTGGTGACAACAACATAGGAAAGGAAGCTGAGCAACACAGCCCAAATAAAGACCTTCTGGCTTCTCAGTTCTGCCCCTGGACACAACATACTCACACCATGTGCAGTCAGGCCGGAAGAGTCCTGAGCTCACTCACTGAGCCCCAGCCAGAAGCTGGGCCCATGCCGGATACCACAAGGAATACCAAGCTGCTGCTTAGCACACCATCCTTCACAGAGTCGCTATCTTGGTTCCTTGAAGCCACCTTAAATGTATGTATGATGTATGAATATATTGTGTGCTTCTCTCTGAGGATGTGTGTGAGCTCAGGCTCTCCTAGAAGCAGATGCCCGAACAGAATTAGAAGTGCAAGGTATTTATTGCAGGAAATGTTTGTGAGGGGTAAAGAGCAGGGGGAATCTTCAATCTGCAATCCCAGCTTGATACTTGTGAAAGGAGAGGGAGAAGGAAAGACGAGTGGACAGGAAGAGCGTCTCAGACTGCAGGGTGGCTGTAAGGAACCCGAAAGCACTGATTGCCCATTAGAGGAGTCCTGCATCAAGCTGAAAGTGGCCCAGTTCCATGACCCCCACAGTGCTTGGTGGTTGGCCAGGCACAGCCTTGGAAGAATAAGGCCTCAGCTGAACATCACAGAGATCCGAAGGTACAGCATCTGGAGGCTGTTAGCCAACTCCCTGGTCCTTTTGAAGGGAAAGCTGGGCCAGGCACAAAGGCTCACACCCGTCATCCCAGCACTTTGAGAGGCCAAGGCAGGTGGATTGACAGAGCTCAGGAGTTCCAGACCAGCCTGGGCAACACGGCAAAACCCCATCTTTACAAAACATACAAAAATTAGCCAGGCATCGTGGTGTGTGCCTATCGTCCCAGCTACTCAGGATGCTAAGGTGGGAGGGTCAACCTGAGCCTGCAGTGAGCCTTGATGGTGCCCCTGCACTCCAGCCTGGGCAACAGAGTGAGACCTTGTCTCTAAAAAGAAAAAACAAATAATAATAATAATGAAGAAAAAGCTGTATGACCCACCTCCATGGCTACCATCACATTGATTATTTCATTATAAAAAAAAATAAGCTTTGTTCTCAGAGGGTTTATTAAACGGATAGCAAAGGAATTAAGGAGTCAAAAGGATGAGGAGTCTGAAATAGTTGAGAACAAACTAGAAGAGACTAGGTCAGAGCGAAGCTATTACAACTCAAATAAGAATTAGGACACTTTTCTTTGTTTTCTTTCCTGTGGTGTTTGGCTTTATCAATTTATAGTTGGTTAAAGTGAGTTGACTTTATTTACAGTGGTTTATAAGGAATGCTGCAGAGATATTTTCCTGAAGTGAATTGTTCAGTTTTCAGATGTCAGTCTCAATCAATTCAGCCTTGATCAATGAAAACTCAGGCCCAGGCCCCACTGGAGTCTGAAGACAGTGGCTGGGGGCAGAGGAGGGGAGATCTGAACCCAGCATAGCTCATGGCACTCATGCTTGGCTTCAGGCTTCCATGAACTCTGTGGGTCCTAAGGAGCTAAGTGTACGGTCCAGAGCCAGTCGAGTAAAACAAGCATCAGCAGCAGATTCTTCAGGAAACAAAGAAACACGACTATGCAGCTCTGAAATTGAAATACGGAGGTGAGCAAGGAAGTTCAGCCTTGAGGAAGACATCATTCTGATGTAGAAGGACGTGGTCAAATCCCCTTTGAATGTCCAGCCACTAGAAGGTACACATAAATTTTGTTGAATTAACAAGTGAATGTGAAAAATGGCAACGTCCCCCCATTTCACTGGGGACCTTGGGGGAACAAAAGAGAAGTCACACCCAGCCAAGAGGGACTAAGGTACAAACTCCAGAGACCAGCACCAAGAAACCAGTGTTGGAGGTGGAGAAAAGGCTGACACTAAACTGGGAGCCACCTAATGGGGCCAGGAGTTAGACAGAAGGAATCATGGAGGCTGCCTGGGAAACAGCAAAAGGTGCCGGCAAGATGAGCACCCCAGCAATCCTCAAAGAACACAAGGAGAAGGATTGAGAATTAGCCTGCAGTGGGGTCTGAGACAGGAAGACACTGGTTTTTTTGTTTTGTTTTGTTTTGTTTATTCCTGCAGCTTTCTCTTACACCTAAGCTGATGGGACCAGCAGAATCTTGGATTCGTACTGGTTGACAAATGATCCTCACAACAGTAGTGAGAAGTAATGATTGCCCCATTAAGGAGGCCAAGGTGAATGGCAGAAGGCGTATCACGGAAGACACAGGAGAGCTTTCCAAAGGAGGAAGTAGCCTGCTGGCCCGCCACACGGCAGGGCAATAACTGACTCTCTAGGATGCAGAGCCCGAAGGGAATGGGATCAAGAGAACAGATGAAGATGTGTTCAAGCCTCTTGTTCTGGGAGGGAAGGCGGTAAAAGGTAAAGGTTCAGAATTTATATCAGAAGCCTGGAATTTGAATCCAGGATTCCCAATTCCTATTTGGGTGTGCAAGCCATTTAACCCCTCTGATTTTCAGTTTTCTGGTGCATAAGATGGGGCACAAATGCAACACCCATTTCAACAGCAGAAGTGGACATCCAATGCGATAGTGCCACCACAGAAGCTTCGCGGCCTGCCCGGTGCTATCGCCAGACCCCACCATTAGCCGCACAGAACTCTGGGCACTGCGGGTTCTCAAACTGTGCTGCTTGACAAGGCCCGGTAGGAAAATGAACGAACCCTGGGATCGGGCCTCAGAGGGGAGCTGACTTGAGCTGTGTGTTCTCAGACATTGACCAAGGCAGAGGCCAAAACCATCTCTCAAGAGCAGGTTTTCTCCTCCGGGGCATCTTGTTCCCTCTTGGTGCAATACAAGAACACAGGCCCTGTGTTCGCCATACCAACTGCAGACTGGCAAAGCAGGTATGAGATTAATGGCTTTTCTGTACAACAAAGGCCTTCCTGCACGGCGGCAGAATTCAATATGCAAACCCCACCACCCTGGCTTCAGACCCACCCTCCCAGCTCGGTGGACAGCAGCAGCTCGAACCCCATAATGTATGCACACTCCGGCTGCTGGGCCCAAGTTATTATTCATTACGGTTTTCTATTACCCGGTGATAAATGATGCCCCCAGGCTGGCGTTGCCCCCAGAATGCTTATTACGGCTCACTTAAGCAGGCGTTGATTTAGCTTAAATCGGTTGTTCTGTTCAGCCCAGACACGGGCCTGCCCCAGCTCTGCCTGGAAGACTCTCTTTTCCAGGGCGTAATTGAATTCTAACTACTCCTGGTCTCTTATTAGGAAGGGGTGGGGTAGGAAGCCCCATGTAGGGCCACAGGATGGTCCAGGCCCCAGAGGTCTCTCCAGCCCTGTGGAATTCTAATTTGATAGGGGTCTTCCCTTTGACTCTAGCCAATAAATTTTGACAAGCAATTCCAATTAGGCCAAGAGAGAACTTCCTGGATGGACTTTCCTCACGGGAAAAATGATGAAATCGCAGGTAGAAGCAACCGTGGGGTATCAATATGACTATTCTTAGGCCGTGCCTCTGGATCAGGCCACTCAGGTCATGATATCTAGGAGCTGTCCAGATCCATTCGTCAAATTATTTGTCACTGACAGAGCCAGCCCTGTCATCCATAAAAATCCAACATAGTTGTGACGTCCCTGGAAAGAGAATAGCCACACTGGAGATACTATAGCTACAACAACTAGGACCCTCACCATTCATTCATGCAGCAGAGATCGACTGAGCACATAGTATGTGCCAGGTGCTAGTCACAAATAAGGAACAAAGCAGCCAGTACTTTCTGCCACCATAGAGTTCACATTCTAGTTTACTTATTGTCGATTACGTGCCAGACATTGTTTTAAGGTCTTCACCAAATGTAACTGTCATCATAACCCCATCCTATTTCGTTTCCGTTTTTGGTTTTTTTGACACGGAGTCTCGCTCTGTTGCCCAGGCTGAAGTGCAGTGGCTCTATCTCAGCTCACTGCAACCTCCGCCTCCCAGGTTCAAGCAATTCTCCTGCCCCAGCCTCCCAAGTAGCTGGGACTACAGGCCCCTGCCACCACACCCGGCTAGTTTTTGTATTTTTGGTAGAGACAGGGTTTCACTGTGTTGGTCAGCCTGGTCTTGAACTCCTGATTTCATGATCTACCCGCCTCAACTTCCCAAAGTGCTGTGATTACAGGCATAAGCCACCACACCTGGCCAACCCCATCCTGTTTTATAGAGAACAAAATAAACTGAGTCTTGGAAACATTCAATGTTTTGTCAAAGGTCACTCAACGATTAGAGGTTAATCAGTGACAGAGTAGATTTGAACACAAGCTTATAACCACAAGTGGTCACTTCTTCTTGTGTAAGTTGTTGTACATTATTACACCATTGTATTTGCCTAGCACACTAGAAGTTACAATGTGCTTTTTCATATTCATTAATAACTCCCACTAAAACCTCCTGGGCAATAGGTATTAATGTTAACATCTTGCAGCTGCAGTGATTAAGAACATGGGATCATGATCATATGGGCCTAGATAAGAATCTTTACTGCATCTCTTACTAGCAATGTGACTTTGGGAAAGTTCTTTATCTACTCACCCTGAGCCTCCCTTTCTTTGAAATAAAAACAATAATACTACCTCAGAGGCTGCGAGAATTCAATTAGAAATGGTATGCATTGCACTTAGAGTGACTTGTTTGTAATAAACTGTGGTCTTGAGACCTTGGCAGCCAGGGGATCAACTATTCCGGGTGGGAAATAATACCACTATTCCAACCAAGAAGAGCCAGGTACTCTCTACTGCCGCTGATGGTCAGACACAAGTGGAAATGAAAGTGTGTCAGGGTGAGAGAGAGATGGCTGAAGACAACAAACTCCTTGGACAGTTTACTTTGATTAGAATTCCACCAGCCCCTCGTGGAGTTCCTCAGATTGAAGTTACATTTGACATTGATGCCAATGGGATCGTACATGTTTCTGCTAAAGGTAAGGGCACAGGACGTGAGCAGTAGATTGTAATCTAGTCTTCTGGGGGGTTAAGCAAAGATGATACTGAAAATACGGTTAAAAATCCAGAGAAATATGCTGAGGAAGACCGGCAAAAGAAGAAACGAGTTGAAGCAATTAATATGGCTGAAGGAATCATTCATGATACAGAAACCAAGATGGAAGAATTCAAGGACCAATTGCCTGCTGATGAGTGCAACAAGCTAAAAGAAGAGATTTCCAAAATGAGGGAGCTCCAGGCTAGAAAAGACAGTGGAACGGGAGAAAACATTAGACAGGCGGCATCCCCTCTTCAGCAGGCATCATTGAAGCTCTTCGAAATGGCATACAAAAAGATGGCATCTGAGCGAGAAGGCTCTGGAAGTTCTGGCACTGGGGAACAAAAGGAAGATCAAAAGGAGGAGAAACAGTAATAGCAGAAATTTTGAAGCCAAAAGAACAACAACATATGAAGCTTCGGAGTGAAGAGACTTCCTGAGCAGAAATGGGCAAACTTCAGTCTTTTTACTGTTTTTGCAGTATTCTATATATAATTTCCTTAATTTATAAATTTAGTGACCATTAGCTAGTGACCAGTTTAATGGGTGGTGATTCTAACAGTATAAAGTTCACAATGTTCTATGTCAAAAAAAAAGAAAGAAAGAAAGAAAGAAAGAAAGAAAGAAAGAAATCTTAATATGAAGATAGGCCAGGAGAGTATCAACAGAAACCAGACCAAACTTCTGGGAAAACCTGGTGGTTTGGGGAAAGGGAATTTCTGCAGGAACAGGGTCTAAGGCTCAGAAACATAAAGGGCATAGGAAGTCTGAATCATTTCGTATCTTCTGCTACCGTTTCCTTTTCTTTCTCCCTTGGTAAAGATTTTTTGTGTTTTTCTGTTTTTGTTTTTTTGAGACAGAGTCTTGCTCTGTCACCCAGGCTGGAGTGCAGTGGTGCAATCTCAGCTCACTGCAACCTCTGCTTCCTAGGTTTAAGCAATTCTCCTGCCTCAGCCTCCTGAGTAGCTGGGACTACAGGCATGCACCACCATGCCCAGCTAATTTTTGTATTTTTAGTCCAGACAGGGTTTCACCATGTTGGCCAGGCTGGCTCAAACTCCTGACCTCAGGTGATTTTCCCACCTCGACCTCCCAAAGTGCTGAGATTACAGGTGGTAAATGTCTTAGTAAAGGAAAAAGCCCATCTGTCTCAGCTGGGAACCCAAAGAAAGGAATGTTCATTAAATAATAATAACAAGGCTGGCATTTATCAAGCACTAAGAAGCACTCTCAAGCCAATATCGCACTATGTGTTTGACACACCTCAATTCATTTAACTTCACCACAACCCTCTGAAGCAGGATCTATCCTTCTCATCCATTTTACAGATAAGGAAACTTATCTGTAGGCTCAAAAAGATGAAAGAGTCTGCCCGAATAATTTAGCCACAATTAGCAAGTTGCTATAACGGGATACAAACCAGAAGGGAGCATACGTGTCCCCTGACCCGGGGAGGAAAAGCCAACAGCCTCAAACCAGATGGGAATCAGAGGCAGTTTTCATACACCCATTTCCTTCCCCTTGTTCCTAACTACTCAAGGAGCTCTGCATGCTGAGGAAGAACTGAAGACAGCTGAAAGGGGAAAACAGCACAGCCCAAACTAGCCTGAAAGGTAGTCAAAACCCACGACCCAGCATCAACTAACTGGGCAGATAAAAAGGGTTCCAAATCATCCATCACATCCTTAGTGTCATCTCTCAGTTGTTGCTTTCGTTTTTAATTTAAAAAAGAGGGGATTTTACTACCTGTAGATGCTTTATCCAACTTTTGGCATCCTGAGCTTCTGAACTCGTCCTTCAGCTCCTGGCTACAACCAACAGGTGAGACACGGCAACGCGTGCAGGAGGGACGCTTCCAACGGAAAAGGAAGTTTGAGTGATTACGTTACCCAGAAAGCTGGGTTAGCCCCCTGAGGGGCATCGGATTAAGGCCCTAGGGTCAGCCCCATGCTGGCAGTTCCCCATTGCAACAGGACACATCTACAGGTGTCCACCACCTCCACAACCCCAGAGGGGAAGACAAAGACACACGCGGCCCTGCCCTCCCGGCATTGGTCCAAGGCCTGGAGGATATCTTCTTTACACAAGGTCACCTTTGGCTGCTAATAAGATTCAGCTATAGAATGATTCATCAGCTTTAAAAAAAAATATATATCATTTTCATAATAAAAAAATGTAACTATGTTACAGAAAAATTGGAAAATAGGAGAAAAAAGAAACAAAAATAAGCCATAATTCATTGATCCTGACGCAATTGGTATTAGCATTCTTGGTGCGTCTCTTCTCCCCTAAGCTCTGGCTTTCCCTCATTGTAACCATGGTCCACTCACAATTGTATATCCAGTTTTTTGTGGCCTAATATTATATCCTAGACATTTTTTGGCATTATATACAACCTAAATAATATCATTTTAATCCTGCCTAATAGTCCACAGAGTTTTGCCGTAATTTACTTAGCTATTCTACTAATGAATATTTCACTATCATAAGTAATGCTGCAATGAACATCTTTGTATTACTGTTTTCTTCCCCAATATTTGGGATTATTTCCTTAAGATAAATTTTCAACATATATGCAATATTTGTGTCAAAGGGAATGACTGCTTTTTTTTTTCTTGAGACAGAGTCTCGCTCTGTCACCCAGGCAGGAGTGCATTGGCGCAATCTCGGCTCACTGCAACCTCCGCCTCCCAGGTTCAAGCAATTCTCCTGCCTCAGCCTCTTGAGTAGCTGGGACTACAGACACACGCTGCCATACTGGGCTAATTTTTTGTATTTTAGTAGAGACGGGGTTTCACCATGTTGCCCAGGCTAGTCTCGAACTCCTGAGCCCAAGCAATCCACCCGCCTCACCCTCCCAAAGTGCTGGGATTACAGGCATGAGCCACCGCGCCCAGCTGTGACTGCTTTTTTGACTCAGCATTAATGCCGCAAGCACAGGAGAGTATCCGGTTCAATGCAACATTGTCAACACTGATGATCCCTTTCTGTCCTCATTTAATAGGCTAATTTTTAAAAGTCCCCTTTGTTGCTCTAATTTGCTTCTTTATGGATTCTTAGAGAAGGGAGGCAGTAGCATCATTTTTAAGAGTTAAAAGCTTTGGATTTAGGCTGGAGTTGAAGATAAAATTCTGCTATTCCATGAGCTACGGTGCCTTCCTTAAGTCTCTCTAGCCCCATCCTGTCTTCTCATCTGTAAAGTGGTGATGATAATACCACCTACCTGCAGGACTGGCATTAGAATTCCACGAAATGATTTCTCTTAGTCCAATTCCTGGCATGTGACTAGCATCACATGTTTCTAGTTGTAGTTTATCAATAACTTTCAAGCACTAAGAAGTGTTATTACACAGTCAACAAACATTTTTGAAGGTTCTGGGGATGCAAGAAAGAATAAACCATGCTTCTTGTCCTTGAAGAGGTCCCAGTCTGAGAGAGGATAAATAAGGAAGAATAAAACAACGGTTTAGTGTTGCAGTAAAACTCAGAATGAGGTGATGCTGCCCAAGAGGTCCAAATTGAGGGAGCTCAGGGCAGAGCCGAGCCACATCTGGGAATCAGGGGAGCAAAACAAACATTACGAAAAATGCACATTATAGAGAAGGCCCATTCACCATGGGCATTGAAGAATGGGTTGTGTTCTGATGGCAAACATATCGGGGAGAAGGACAGGGTGGGGTATTCCAGGTAGCGGGAACAGCACAGGCAAAGATCCAGAAGTGGGAGGTTTCACTCAGAATGGATATGGGAAATAGCAACTTTTCCCATTGGGTTCACGAACTGCAGGTCTGGCTATCCTGGGTGGCTGATCTGATGGCAGGATGAGCTTGCTTCGCAGAGCTCTCTGCTGGCTCCCCAGGCCTTCTCATTAAACTTAATACTCAACATGTCAGCATAGGTGGAGAGAGTGTTTAAATTATAAAACGTCCCTCTCAGAGAGTACTCTTAACACTCTTTGAGATTAAAAAAAAAAAGGATGCTAATAAATAAGACCATCTCCATCCAGACCCCCAGAATGCTAATCAGTGCCTTGTCAGACTGAAGAACCCTCATACACTGTGGGGCAGGCGTTGCTGTGCCTCGCCGGGAAATCTTACCTTAAGAATCTTTCTCAGGGTCTAGCTGTTTCCCATCCAAAGTCCCAATAGGGTGTTGTGGCTGGAAGCCACAAGCATGGCTCAGCTCCATGAGGGAAGTTTAGACAAAATCCATCCTCCAAGACCTAATGCCGGGATTCCCTCCTGTGACAAGCCCTCTGCCATCCAGCCCTAATAGATGACTTCCTCCCCTAGATTATATGGTCCTTCATTCTCTCACAGCCCCATCCATACTCATTTTCTGGTCAGCTGCAACCTTGTCTTATCTCCTGTACTCACCTGCTAGATGGCAAGTTCCTTGAGGGCAGGCATGTGATCTGCTTGTCTTACCTTTGCTTCCTTCACTCCTGTTCAGAAACCCATTCCAAAGTACATGAAGCAAAAAGCAATTAAGCAAATGGAGATTTACCTGGACACAGGTGAACCCTGACCATTATGAGCAGGACCAAGATCAGGAACCCAAGCACTTAAGCATCCTTAAGCCTCTCTCCTCTCCTTTTTCCTCTCCTCCTTCTCCTCTTCCTCCTTCTCTCTCTGTCTGCCTCCCTATCCCCACTCTCCCTTCCTTATAGCCCTGCCCACTTCCTATCTCCCATCTATACGTTCATTCTTCTTTCTCCTCTGCAGAACAACATCTTGGAACCTGGAACAGCCTCCCTACAGTATGTGTTCAAGTCAGCAGTTTTGAGTGACCCAGCCTCACTCCAGTCTTGATTCCAAATTTCAGGGAGAAGAGAGAGAATGAAATTGACACAGTTGGTATCAGATGTCCACCTGGGTCCAAGAGTACTCACAATAGAAAACATTTACGGAGCCCTTCCTAAGTACCAGCTGCTGCTCTAAAAGCTTATATGTACTAACTCACTGAATCCTTACCAGCCTTTGAGGTAGATGCTGCTAACAGCTCGTTTTACAGATCACGTAAGCACCATAACAAAAATCGGATGTGTGTGACCAAATTGACACAGCCGGTAAGTGATGAAGCCAGGACATTGAGCCCAGGGAGTCTGAGTCCAGAGCCCAGGTTTTTAACATTATAGTATGTCAGTTTTGGACATTCTCTTTTTTCAGACAATAGACAGCCTAGCGGGGAAACAGGGCTGTGGTAGCTCACTCTCAGAAGTGGGCAGTTGTCAAAGAAACACTATCCTTAAAAGCCCTTTGCTTCTGCTCAAAGTGGTGGGTGGGTGGGTGTGTGGGTGGATAGATGAATGGAAATTTAATGCCTTCTCTTTGTTGCTCAGCTCATTTCGCAGCAAAGAACTCTATCAGCTAAAAAACAACTCTA